TATGCACACATGGCTCAGGAGAGGGAGTTTACCTCAGGGCTCTAAGGGGAAGTCCTTCTTTGTCAGTAGCCTCTTCTAGAAGTTCCTTGAATTACTCAGTGCCTGTCTTTAAACCCCCTCCCCCTTCATGTATGTAGCTCTGTGGGTTAAGTTTGGGCCGCTAACTGCAAGATCAGAGATTCAAGCCCACCAGCTACTCCTTGGGAGAAAGACACAGCCGCCTGCTTCTGTAAAGATTTACTCTCTTTCAACATTCTTCATCTACACCTTAAGTACCATTTCGTATTTGGTCTTTCTCCCTCACTGTCCAGCTTTCTCGTATGTGTTCGTTGTAAAGACCATGGCCAGTGGGAGTGTTGGGACAGGCAGCTGGTACGTGCTGGCTTCTCCCTGACATCACCTCCCTCTTCTTTTCTCCTGACCCTCTGTTGCAGTCATCTACCCAGTAGCTGAGCTTCTAGGACACGTGGAATTGTTTTGAGGACCCATGAATCCATTTGCTGAGTTTGACCCTGGCTTGTGACACTCATTTAAAATTCTATATCCATGTTGGCTTTCCCTTATGGAAGAAAATCTAATCTGGGAGATATTTCCATAAAAACATAGGCTTCAGAGTAAAAGTGAAAACAAATAAAACTAAAGCCTATTGGAAAAATCAACAACCCCAGTCAGTGCTTGGCACGTTCTAGCTCTGCGTCATTGTCTGAAGCTACACCAGGTCCCTCTGTCTGTCTTCTTGTATCCAGCTGCATGGCAGGTGCAACTCACCCCGTTCTCCAAACATGGGGTTCTCCATGCTGGAGTGTTTCAGCCCTAGTAGTGGGATATAAGAAGACACCAGGCACTCAGGCCTGTTTTAGCTCATCCAGGTTTGCAGTGGTGCCCCCCCCCCCAACACACCCAAATATCTCCACATCCTACACACACCCCCTTACCTGTGCATCTGACATTATTTGGAAATGGGATCTTTGCAGGTGTAACTAAAGATCTGGAGGTGAGCTCATCCTAGATAACCCAGGTAACCTTCGATGCAATGGCACTACCTTTATAAGAGACGGAGAGGGGCACAGACAAGAGAGGACCAAGTGAAGATGGACCAGAGATTGGGATGGTGTGGTTGCAAGCAGGGCACAGCTGGGGTCACCAGAAGCTGGATTTCCCCCGTGAGCTTCTGGAGACGCTGTGTTCTCTGAGTCTTCAATCCCATTCCTCTGAGAGGCATAGTCTTTTGGTTTTGCTTGAAGTTTTTATTGTGAATTGAATGATTGTTTACATGGAAGAACATCTGTTTTACACTCATCCTATCATATTTAGTTTCATTGCAATCATTAAAATCCCCTCCATGCATCATCATTCAACAGTATTTGCTTCTATTCCCTCTGTTTGTTTTAATATACACAAAAACACTCAGGAATATATAATCATTTAAACCACCAAAGGGCACATTCTGCAAGCCTGCCTCCTGGCTACCAGCACACAGCCTTTCTCTTTCCATGAGTCCAGAGTCCTCAGCTGCTTTCTCTCTCCATGTCCTCCTGTCTGCCTCCATCTCTGGTGTCACTTCTTCTCTGTATAGGGTCCCACATTTCACTTGGGCTCTTTTTCCTTGGTGGTCTTAGGGTCCTCTGTTCCTGGAATGTAAATTAACTACTTCTGCCTTTTTGTTACAAAACTTCTACCTTTAAAGTTATGACCATTGCCATTAAGAGATAGCAATTACTCACTATTGAATCATAAGACTCCTATCCCCATCTCCATTCACCAGACCCGTGTGGACAAGATGAAAACTATTCAGTGGGGGTTCTACCTTCCCCTGCACACTCTGAAACTAAACTCCCTCTTGAAAACTTGTAAGCCAGTCACTTCATGCCTTTATTGATCCTCCATTTTAGGTAGGCAATGTCTAAGTTGCCCGTCCGTATCTACCCTGTGTACAGAGGGGATAGGATTGATCTTTGATGTGAAGATTCCTTCCCTCTCAGTTGGAAAGCTAGTACATCCATAAGTATAGGTCAAATTCATCACATTGTAGCAATTTACACTCGTTTCCTTTAATTTCTTTATCTTCCTAAGAGGCACATTGTTGACACTTGCTCCACCTCTGTTCTGATGACCTTTAGCATCTGTCCCTGGGCAATGCCCACCTGGCTGAACACTGCCATGAGCCATCTGCGCACACCCCTCAAGGCTACTCACATTGGGGCCATACTACGTCCCTACAAGACGACGCTATGCCTGCTCTCCTCACAACCTCAACACCTCCAGCCCATTCCATTCTTTGATGATCTGCCTCTTGTTCCACGGAGGACAGAAGCCACAAAAGAGAATTTTCATGCTCCTCAAATTCACAACCCCACCTGCATCCACACCCTAAGCACTCCTTCGCTGTGGTTCATGTGATTAATATGGTGAGCTGTTCACAAGTGTGTGCTCTTAGAGGGTGAGGAAGTAATCATCCTTCCCAGTCTGTATTTCAGAGTTCTGGCCCCCAGGGCAGCTAGAGGACTAACCTGTGGTGTTATGGAACTTTGATAAGGCAGCCCCAGACACTAATGCAAGGGCTAAAGTTAGCATCGTGACTAACGTTAACTAACTCAAGTTAACATCCAGAACTAATGTTCTGCATCTCAGGTACAAAGTGGAAGGTGCCCTCGACCTGCTTCATTCTCTGTGGGTCCCGTGAAACCCTGGATAGAAGGGCACAGTGATGGGCTGGGCCAGAAATAGGAGTTGATCACAGACGATGTAGGAAATGCCCAGGTAAGCCAATAGCCACCTCTCCAACCGTGGAGACACTCCAGTGTCTTCCTGGCCAATGTGGAAGGGCTCACATGTCTCACTTCCTGGAGCGGTGAGCACAAGGGGTCATGAGCACTGTGAAGGGACTGTGAACATCAGTCCACTGAGGGTGTGGGTGGGCGCTGGACTTGGGCCAGCGTCCACCAGGTATCTCTGTGTGACCAGCCTGGGAACATCGTTGGCCTTCCACTGGTCCAGATGAAGAGCTGAAGCATGGGTTGGGGTGGATAAAGGGAAGGCCTGGGTTCAAATTCTACTCCTATCACTGAGGAGGGAACCCAGTATCAGCCCTTATCTCTTGGTCCTACAGAATGCTGTGAGAACTGAGGCCGGCAGTTGGGGGTCCAAGGATCAGCTGACATTCTTACTGTCACCTATGGGGTTTCAGCATGCTGGTTGGGACAAATTTCAGAACTTGTTTCTGAGTACCCTATGGAACAAAAACTTGTTCTGCATGACAGGGGAGCCATGTTGTGGCCCCTGGTTCTTCAGGAGAGGAGAAATTGCAGCCCTCCTGGAGGTCAAAGGCACTCACGACCCGCATGTCCCAAGCCTTCTTGTTGGGACTGAGAGGTATAGGTATGCTCTTCAACTCATGAAGGGCCATTTTGGTCAACCCAGGCCAGGGTGCAGGTGCCAGTGGGAGCTGGTTCTCCAGCTGGGGGCACACAGGCACCAGGTGGGTTTGAGGCTGGGGGCTCAGTGATGGATGGAATGTCTCGCGTCAACCTGGGAAGGAAAGGAATAGAAGAGGGTGGTTATATGTTGGGGTTACCCAGAGGCTAGTGACTCCAGCGTAACCCAACACACACACACAGACACACAGATGCCCAATAGGCACATACACACATGTACGGGGGCTAATTTCATGCCTGGCCTGAAGCTGTAACTGGAGTCAGGGGAGACCAAAGCCTAGTCCTGTGTGAGTGGGATTGTTTACACAAGGGGCGGAGGTGGTTTAGGATTTGAGCCATCTTAATTCATAGGATTCTCTTCTTACAAGCAAGCCCTGCAGTCCTGTGAGTGATTGAAGGCTGGGCAGGTGGGTTAGAGAGGTCTTCTGGCCTGGGGTGCCTGGTGGAAGAGGCTCCCCCCTTCACTTCCCCTGGGGGTCTTGAGGCTGGGTGCTGAGGATGCTAGGAGAGAGACTTCTTACAGAAGGCAGAAGAAACAGTGCCCACCAGCACTTCCCTCCCCAGGGGTCTCCCCGTGTCAGCCCCGCAGAAGGGTGTCCCCTTTGGTTTTCTCCTGTACTTCCCCAGTGGGGGTCCCCTTGTGGGCCCTTTGGGAGCATCCTGAATAGGTGAGAGAGAGGGGTAGGGGGTGGGGTCTGGGAGGCATTTTGCCCCATTATGCCCAGGCCCGCGCGTGTTCCGGGATCTCCAGAGTTGTACTTAAGCAACTGAAGCTGGGGTGGGGGTGCGGGGCGCATCTTCTTTGGGTGATTTGCTGGCCAGCTTTGGGCTCCCCATCTGGCTAGATTCGAAGTTCAGTCTCCACCCAGCACGGGAGCTTCGACTCCCTCAGGACCTAGAAAAAGCGAGGCGGGGCATGCTGTGATTCTCTGTTGTAACCCAAACGAATCAAAGTTTGGGTCCCTCGGCACTGCTTCCTGGGGCTTGGCCAGGTGTGGGTACTTGGGGTGGAGAGGGTGGGGGGTCCGGAGAGGGGGCGCGGGGCTCAGGGCTGTCCTGGCCCGCGCGCTCTCGAAGGAAGGCTGGCCCTGCCCCTCGGCCCGCCCGTGTCCCCACCCCGCGCCCGGCGACCAGTGGGAGGCGGTGGCCGGGCCGGCAGCTCGCAGCCCGGGCTCTGATTCGCTGCAGGCGCTGGGAGCGACAGCCGCTCGGGGGCCTGCCCGCGGAGAGGAGGGAGGAAAGGGGAAAAGTGCTTGGCGCCCGGGCCAGTCCGCACTCCCGTCCCCGCGGCTGGCGCAGGACTCTAGATCGGGCGCCCACGGGAGCGGGTCGCGGGGCGGCGAGGCGGCGGGAGGAACTGCAGAGAAGCAGGAACAAGGGAGCGCCAAGGGAACCCGACAAGCTCCCGCACCCAGGCCAGCCGCCCTCCAGGACAGCCGCCTCTACAAAGGACACAGAGCCGGCACGGGCACCCCATGAGTCCCTAGAGTGCTGCGTCCTCGCCGAGTCTCTGTTCGGGCGCCCCAATCGCCCCCAGCTCCCCGTGCGCCCCCTGCGTGCCGCGGTATGGATGTCCACACCCGCTGGAAAGCGCGCAGCCCGCGCTGCCCGGGCGCCCCGCTGTCGCCGCTGCTGTTCCTGCCGATGCTGCTGCTGTGGGCGCCGCCTCCGAGCCGCGCAGGTAAGGGCTCCCGGCGTCGGGTGCAGGACACGGTGTCCGCCACCTTCCCGGGAGCGCTGTCATCCCGGGCGCCGGCGCCTTTCCGCACTGCTGGCAAAACTTATCCCCTCTGGGCTTGTGGAATGCACCGGCGCGGCTGCAAATGCCATTCGCTGGGGGCCCTGAGGGGAAGACTCGCCAACACAATGCCGGCGGTCTCCGCCGCCCCCTCCCATGCCAGTCGGCCAGTTAGGATTGTCGCGTGAGCTTGAGCAAGGGCTGCGAGTTGGAGCGACCAGGGAGGTTGTCCAAAACCCAGGACAACTTTCCAGAGACCCCTGGATTGGTGCCTCGAAGCACAGGCGCCAGCCCCAGCCCACGCAGCCCCACCGCAGAACTTCCTCTCCCCAAGTCAGGGCAAGTCGCCCCCTAGAGTTACAGCCTTTCAGTACTGGCTTGGACTCCTGGAGGGCGCTAGAGTGGGGGTGGGGGTGGGGTCACAGAGCACCCCAGCCTGGTCTTAACCTCTCCCTCTAACCTCTGGAATGTTCAGAAGGCCACCTTCTTGCAACTCTGGCATCTGAGTGTTGGTGGCACTGGGGAGTCATGGAGTGTGTTGGAGCACCCCCACATCTCCTGACTCTCTGGGAGACTGCTTCTCTCCCCGAGATAAGATATGGGGGCAAAGCTGCTGAGCTAAATCTCTGGAGTGGGAAGGATGGTTCCTTCTGCCAGGGACCTGCCCTTAGAAGGAGGTCTTCCATGCCAGCCCTCTCCTGGCTGCCATCAAAACTCTGGCTACCTCAACATCTTAATGGGAGAGCCTTGCTCTTTTGAGCATCACCTTCCAAGATTGGCTGTGGGTTGGGTCTTTTCAAACATCTGACCCAGAGGATCCCAGGTCTCTTACCCCATTGATGGATGGGGCGATGAAGGCTCAGCTAGTTTTGTCCCAAGGCCTGGAGCATGACAGGAATGGGGCCACCGCTCCATGGCAGCTAAACAACCAGACATCCCCCAGTGAGAAGCGAATACTTGCTGCCCCCTTTCTCTTTCCACTCTGTAATTGGAAGGCATTTGGAAAGAATCACTTTCCGAACGCCTCTTGCCAGTTACAATGTTTCCTGGCACAATTAGCACTGGGTGGGATGGGGAGGGTCAGCAGGAGTCCGGCTGTGGGGCAGCTCGGGGGCTTTGGGAGAAGACAGGCCTGGTCCTTATTCCTGGGCTTCCCCCAGCTTGTGTTATGGGGGTCAACTGATGGTTCTGGACAGTGGACAGTACAAATCTCTGGAAGAGAAGATGGAGTGGGCTGGGGCGAGGGCGGGGGGGGGGGGGGGGGGTGGTGGTGGCGGGGAGGAGCAGCCACCACCCTGGGCCTCCTCCTCTCTCTGTCTTGTCCCAGCTCCTCTAAGAGCTAGGGTCGGGGTGGGAGGTAGACCACAGATTTTCAGGGCCTGAGACGTTGGGTGCATAGCTCACCTTACCTCTTCTCATGCACCCTTCTCAGCTGAGCTTTTAAGTGTGGCTTCTGGAAGCAATAGTGTGTGTTGGGGTGGGTGGGGGCACAAGTAAGGGTCTGCAGAGTTGAACATTTTGCTTTTGTCAAAACACACTTGGTTCCAGCATGTGAAGATGTTCATGTTCTGGGTGGGCTCCACAAACCTCTCTTTACCACTCAGGGTGGGTCCCCATTTGACGTCACCTACAGTGAGTGGCCAGAGGGACAGTTGTCTGTCACTGGGGACACAGAGGGGCAGGGGAAGCACCTCTGCATCTCTTCATCTTGGGACTTGCCAGATGTTTTCTGAGTGGTCCCTGGACATGGCTCTTCCCCTACCTTCTCCTTGGCCAAGCGTGTGAAGGACTGAGAAGTTCCATTTCATTTGGGGCTGCTTAACATCTTGCCAGGGGAGGGAGAGTATGTGAAGTGAAACATGACCCCGATATTTGGAAATTGAGGTCATCTCCTCAGCACCTCATTGGTGGGCGCCAGTCACATGACTGCTTTTTGCAAGAATTTGTGGAAAGCCTCAGCCAAGTTCTGTGGAACTTGACAAGTATCAAATGGTTAAATTTCCTTTGACTCAACTCAATGAAGTTGGCTGGACATCCTTTTCCATCCCCTCCCATTAAAGTGCAGTCGGTGGGAGGAGGCCAGCAGTTCCTAGACCCCTAGGTCTGGCCCAGATTTCAGTGCTTGGAAGGGTTGGCGTAGGACGTTTCCCCTGGGAACTCTGACCACCCAGCAGTGGCCCTAGTAAGGCATTTCCCCCCTAAGTTCCTTCTCTGATGATGTCGCCCCAGGGGTGTTCCTGGGGCACTGGCCAGAGCCTGTCCCTTCACCCCACCCTGCAGACATTTCTGGACTTTCTCCACAGCCCCGCCCCAAAGCCTGGCTGATGCCTGCCCTCCTCATTCTGGTTCTGATTCCCCATCTCCCCCTTGCCAGGCAAGGATCGCCCATTTCGTCCTCCTATGTCCCATGAGGCGCAGACACCCACCGCTTCTCCTACAGCCTTTACTCTTTGACAGTGACTAGGGGGGTCTGGTCTGCCCCCCCCTCCCCCCCAAGGCACTGTGTTAGCTGGTTGGCTGGGTGGAGTCAGGTCCTGCAGGGTCCCCCTTCTCTGTTCTAAGGTGTTGCAAACACCCGGTGGGACTACTGGGCTGCTCGGACTCCTTTGCTGACACTTGCCTGACCTTGAGGGAAGCCCAACTTCCTGGTCTTAGCAGCTGCCTGCAGGGATCTCAGCTGAGCCTTCTGACCCCTCTCCTTCCTTTCCCTCCCTCCCTCCTTCCCTCTTCTCCCTCCCCTGCCCCCCTCTCTTCTTTCTCTTCCTCTCCTCTCCAGACTCTCCCCTCCCTTCCCTTCCCTCTCTGCCTTCCAGAGGTCCCTGCAGTCTCCTATTGAGTTTAGTACCCTCCACACCTTCACCCATCAGCAAGACCTTCCTGGCACTATAGAACTCTGGGCATGAATGGGTTGTGGTCCCTGTTTCCAGGAGTTCACAGTCCGGTGGGTGGGACAGACCTGGACACTTTCCATTCCCGTTGTGGGCCCCACATTGGAAACCACTAAGTGTCCTTTAAAACCAACTGGTAGGGGTAACTTGGCTGAAGAGATTCAGGGACTCTGCTTGGGAGAGTAAATACTCAGCATGACTTGTCCTCCCCTGTCCATCTCCTTCCTTAGTGAGCCTCTTCTTTCTGCTGCCTGTCCTTCTTCCTGTCAGGGCCTCGATACCCTGACCAGTGTCTCCAAGGCTGCTCCCCTGCGCTGAACAGACCCTCACCAATGTGGTTAAGGTGTCCCAGCCCACGGCTGCCCTTGGAGGGCCACGTGGCTGGAAGAACCAGCTTCTCTTGAGAGACAGGAAGTGCCCCCAAAGAGAACAAGCTTCTTGGAGGATGGGCAGATACTCAAGGGTCAGGTATCAGAGGGTAGGTTTCTGGATCCCTCTGTCTGCCCACCCCCCGACTTCTGCCAGTGGTTGAGGGCCCATGGAGCTGTAGAACGAGGGCCGGGGGTGGGGGTGGGGGGTGGGGGGCAGTTGCTCTGTGTTCAGTCTGCAGCTCTGCAGAAAGATTGCGGGACCTTGTAGCACTGGCTCCGCTGGGAAGTGGTCCCTGGCATGATTTTGGTCCCAGCGCTGGCCACCAGGCAGTAGGTTGTGGGAGGGCCATCCAATCCCAGGGCAGTATGGGGACCCTGGGTATCTCAGCCTCCAATAGGCCTATGGGCAGGAGGTTTGACAAGGCCAGCTTCTACCCCTCAGTTTCTCAGTTTTCCCCTCTGGGACATAGGGAGGAGTGTATCACTTGCTTTGAGGGGTGGTTGTGAAGATCAAGGCAATGCTTGTTGCCCCAAGTCGGTTGTCACCTAGTTGACACCGATTCAGGGAGATCCCACGTGTGTGCAAGAGTGGAACTGGATTCTCTGGAGCTGAGTTTTCAGAAGTAGGTCACCAGATCTTTCTTTGGCGGTACCTCTGGGTGGACTTGTAAGCACTGGATAGAGAGAGGATATTAGTGTAGCTGCTGTCGTTTGTGGAATTTTGTGAAAGCAAACTTCATGGTGGTACCGTAGTTCTCCCAAGGAGTACGCGCGCCACAAACAGCAAAGTGCTCCATGTGGCCTCTTGAGCCAAGAGTATGGAAGAGGGGTTCCAAGTGTCAGACTGTGTGAGTGTGTGTGTGCCAGTGAGAGTAAATGTGTACATAATTGTGCGAATGTGCGTGTGTGTTAGTGTGCAAATGTGAGTATGACTGAATTTATGTGTGTGTGTGTGTACTGTGTGAGTGTGTGCGTACATGCATCTTTAAGTGTGCAGGTGTGAGTGTGTGCAAGTGTGGGTGGGTGTGGACACATGAGCGGGTGCAATTGTGAGGGAGGGCACAAGTGTGTGTGTACAGCTGTATACATGTGTGTGAATGTGGACACCTGAGCGGGTGTGAGTACACAGGTGTGAGCGTGTCAGTGGGAATGAGTGTTGGTATGTGAGAGAGCCAGAACATCTGGTCATCAGTCAATGGAAGCCACATGCACAGGGCAGCACAGGCCCCTAATGGGGCATTGAGGGTCTATCAGATCTGGGTCCAACCCTGGCCCTGCCGCCCACAAGCACCCACTTTCCGATCCTCAGTCGCTCATGTGCGTAGGTGGGGTACAGTCCTGAATCGCTTCATAGGGTTGCATGTGGCAATGTCTGTGTGTGTGAGTGCTTATACGTATGTGTCGGGGTGTCATGTGTGCATATAATTTATGTGTGCTCTGTGCTTTCATGGGAGTCAGCTGGCACCCACAAAAACCCAGACCCCCTGCAAAAATACATGTGCTTACACACATGGCACATGATGATGTGCAGACATTCAGGTACACGTGGTGCCAAGAGTCCCAAAACACCTCTGCAAGCAGCTGCTGTATTTCCCTCCAGTCTGTTACCCACCACCAACACTGCAGGGGCAGTGAGGAGTGGGCATGTGGCAGGGATCCCCTGTACATGACCAAGCAGGCTGGC